CACTACCGATTATATTAGGTAACCTGCATATTCCCCCCATGTCTCACAACCTATTTTTCACAACTCCCAAATTGGTCTACTGGGTCGTTTGCTCCTTTTGAGCTCCCATCTTTGGTTTGCCTGAAGGGTGCCTCTCTAGCACATATTTCAAGCCAGATTCCTGCTGCCTCTGCCATTTTCCCAATTCAGATACTAGTGGCACGTATCTCAAGCCAGGTCTCTGCTGCTGCTGCTGGTTTGCAACCCTTCTTGGTCTTAGCGTTATTCAAATGGATTATGCATTTAACCTGCCCTTTAAATACTCCCTTTTATGGTATAGTGGAACTATGTTTCAGAAATGGTACTCCCATTTTCTTCCAGCCATTGGCCATTGTTTCCTTTCTACTTAAACACATGAGGACTTATTTTGTGTTTGCACTGCCCAAAGCTGGTTTGCATTCCTCTGTGTATACTGATCTATACAGATATCTGTATAAATCTGCATTCCCACAGATGCCCTGTGCTTGTTCACAAAGGTCACTTCCAATTTAGGTATCTTAACTTTGATTGGTACAGCATTTATGTTAGTGTGTTCCACTTGTTTCGCCATAGGCTTCCATATAGGTGTGACCAGGGCTCCAGTTTGGTACCTTTAGACATACAGGACAGGTTACAACTTCTCTATACATACAGTCACCTTTTATTTTCAGTCATTCCATGATGCCAGAGGTGCTTTCAATTCTTGATAAGGCTAATCCTTTGTCACAGACCTTCTATGCATGCACTGCTTCTCTCACCACTCCAGTATATGTTACCTTGGTATCACCCTCCCAATCAATTACTTCCCAAGTTGGATGTGAAGATGTTGGTACTGCCTTGTCTCTGAAGGACTTATATGCACAATATTTTGTATAACAGAACATTCTGTAACACCACTGTTACCTGTAGTATCTGCTCTCTGCAAAGTCAGTCTCCTTCCAGAAATTTCTTTTTTCATCATGTACTGCACTTGGACTTAACTACAGGGCTTCATGTTCAATTACTGGCTCCTTATAGGTTACAAAAGCTAAAATCTTTTTGATTTTGTCTCCAGCCAAACTTGAACCGTTGACCTTGACTGTGAGAGTATAGAAGCTTAACAATTAAGCTATGGGACCCACACCCTTAGGCTTGTGTTCTGTTAATTTATTATTTAATTTATTCTTATTAAGAATGTGAGTCTTGTATTCTGTTAGTTTATCATTTTAAATTTCCTTTTATTAAGAAAATGCAAGTCTCAGATTTTGTTAATTTTTTTATATATTTTTTATTTTTATTTTTATTTTTATTTTTTAATTTTTTTTTATTAAGAAAATGTGAGTCTTAGATTTTGCTTCGATCTTTTTTTAATCAAGAAAATGTGAGTCTTAAATTTTGTTAAATTTTTATTTTTTTTTATTTTTTTATTCTTATTAGAGTCTCAGGTTTTATTTATTTTTATAAATAGTAAATATTGTGACAGGTAAACGGCAAGTCTGTCACTTTACCTAACAAGATGTTACATAACATTGTGAATTCGATGGATCAAGACTTCAAGGCATAGATATAATTTAGATAAATATAGTTTTATTCTTTTATTTGCTTTGGGTTTCCTTTAAACACTCTAACTAACTATTATAAATTTATACTATTAACTGTTAACTCTAAGAACTTCAATCTTTTTCCCACCAACTGGGGCCACAAGATAAGTAACTTTATTAAATTTTATTTGCTTTTATATAATTTTGCTTGTACTAATAGATTTTCTTTATTTTTTAGGTTATATTTCTATTTTTCCCACTATTTTGCCTCTCTACAATTGTAATATCATAAGTTTTACTTGATTAGGTAAGTACTTTACTATGTTTGTATTACTGTAAATTACTATATACAAGACCCTCCAAAATAGTAGATCCATCATGTATTATATCCGGGTCTATATAATAGAATGGAGTTTTGGTAAAATGTAAAAGACCCAAGTATAACTATATGAGATAAACACTAAAAGACCTAGGTATAATTTTATATGAAATAAATATTAAAAGACCTGAATATAATATTCTAAGCATATATTTATATTTGCACACTATATGCCTCATATATAAGTGAACTCGATATAGACACTTTAGCGATTATTTAATAAATATATTGCTAGTACTTCGCAACAGAAACTAGTGACATTTATTTTGTTTTATATAATCTGTCTACTTTTTCTAACTCACAATTAAAATATTTTTGATCTTTAGCTGTTCATAAGAAAGCTTTGAGAAAATTGCCTTTATTAAATATTTACATACTCTTAATATTTTTAATCTTGCATTAAAATGTTTAAATACATTATATCAAGCAAGTTAAAATAATATAATATAAAGTAAATTCATAAATGCATGTCTTATTAAATAACTTGAACTTTTGCTCTTTTTTGAGCCAATGTTCTAATAGAATAGTATTAACTTGAAATTTATTAAGAATAAATACTGTATTACATTCAGTTAATTTTTGTAAATACAATAAAATTGGCATAGAAATCAAAAAATAATATTAAACTTAGTATGAATAAAGCACATATTCAGGAATATTTTATCTTTTTGTATTATATTTAAAGAAAATAGTTTGGGCCATAACTCTAGTTAAAATCTCTAGTTTATTTGTTTAAATTTTTTTAAACTACAAGAGATTCACAATATTTAATCGCTGTGTCTCATTTAAATAATTGTTCAACCTTTAAGAAATTTATTATATTTGCTTATTATGCAATAGATTTTTCTATGATTATTTAATGTTAATGCATTATTTGATATATTTTCTAATTTGTTTAAATTTAAAGAAGATTCTTTATATTGTTATGATTGTGACCTGAAAGGTCTTTTAATCTCACAAATTAATATATTTAACTATTTTATTCTTATAGAATATGTCTTCTTTCTGAACTTCTTAACTATTCAAGGATTTATTATTGTTACTATCTTCGCTATCTTTATTTTCACTATCATCTTTACTATTGTTATTGTTATTACCATTATTATCACAATTATTGTTATCATTATCATTTTAAGTCAGGTCAATGATACTTTTATTATCACTTGCACTATTCACATTAGAATATATATAATCACTATTTTTACTTTGAGATTCTGAATTATTTACCCAATTGTAATCAAACATAACACTCTTTTTAGAACTATCTGAGGCAGTGAAAATGCCACAACACTTGAAGGATTGCATAATAAGGTGAGAGTCAACTTGGTTCCAGGCTTTCTTTACCCATTCAGCTATCAGATTATAGAGTGATTATTGAATTTGACCTGAAGGCATTAGTTTTTTAATTTCTTCTCTCATTCAATCAAAATAAAATTTATTTTTTTTTTTTTTTTGGAGTTAAGGTGAGGTCATGCCTCAGGTCTGTTTATTCAAACATATTGTTACAGTTTGTA